GCAGGGAGCCTGCTTCTCCCTCTCCCCCTGCCTGCTGCTCTGCCTACTTGTGCTCTCTCTCTCTCTGTGTCAAAAAAATAAATAAATAATCTTAAAAAAAAAAAAGTGGGCCAGAGATAGGCAAATTGTTTTTTTAAGTTTCCCCAGATTAGTAATGAACATGACCAAAAAAGTACATTTCCTTAATAAAGAAATGCAAATAAAAAGTAAAATACTATTTTAATTATCAAGTTGACAATTATTAAAAGTACTATAAATAGCCTTTGAAGGGCAGTTTGACAAGCTATATCAAAACCTTATTTCTTTCTGACCATTTCTTGAAGTATGTCCTATAGAAATCGCTAAAAACGTTTCTGGGGGCGCTTGAGTGGCTCATTCGTTAAGCATCTGCCTTCTGCTTGGTCCTGGGATCAAGCCCCACGTCGGGCTCCCTGTTTGGTGGGAAACCTGCTTCTCCCTCTCCCACTCCCCCTGTTTGTGTGCCCTCTCTCACTGCCTCTCTCTCTCTCTCTCTGTCAAATAAATAAATAAGAAATCTTTTTTAAAAATATGTTTTTGATGTTTTAAGTTCAATATATTCATCCTTTTTTATTAACTTGAAAATTCATAAATTACCTAAAATCCAAATGATTGTGAAAAGAAACTTCTAGTGGAGGAAAAACATTTGATAATGTGTTTTCTTGCCTCTAATTCTTCCAGAGTAGTGGATTCCTTAGAGTACTTTGATGGCCGCCTATTGTTTAATTGTATATAACCATCATTAATCTGGCCGAAACTACCCTTCCCTTAGGTAGTTTGTCCTGTGAATGTCAAATAATAACCAATTATCATAGAGCATATTGAGTAATTGGTGGGTTTGTTCTTCCACCAAAAATATTTATAGGTTTTAGCTTTTAAAAATAATTCTGGAGCACAGCAAGATAAAAAAGGGAAAAATTGGCCTAGATAATACAGAAGATAGCAGATGAACAGGGTTGATTTCACTTTGGGCACTTTGCCCAGGACACTTTTAATAGAACATATAGTTACTCTAGGGATCCTGAGTCTGTGGTTATGTCAGGCTTACACATTTATTCTTTAAAAGGAAAAATTGCAGGTTATTGGACTCTAGGTACATTGGTATGACTTAAATTTTTAAACTATTCCTGTAATCCAGCCACTGATAATTTGCTGTGTGTGGGCTGGATTTGTTACTATTAAAACTAGGTTAATCATGGGTAGAAAAATATTTTGAACTTCCTTCTATGAAAACACAGTAGCTTCTTCATTTCTTTCAAAGTTTTAGTCAAGTTTTAAAAGATGTCTAAACTAGGAATTAGATGGTTATTTTTTTTTAAAGATTTTATTTATTTATTTGACAGACAGAGATCACAAGTAGACAGAGAGGCAGGCAGAGAGAGAGAGGGAAGCAGGCTCCCTGATGAGCAGAGAGCCCGATGCGGGACTCGATCCCAGGACCCTGAGATCATGACCTGAGCCGAAGGCAGCGGCTTAACCCACTGAGCCACCCAGGCGCCCCTAGATGGTTATTTTTATGGGAAGAATTTTTAATCTTACTATTGTTGAGGACTTTTTACTGAAAAATCAATCAAGTCTTTAAGGAAAAAAAATCTCCTACTAAATCTTATTTTATTTTATTTATTTATTTATTTTTTTTAAGAATTGTTTTTAAGGTTTTATTTATTCATTTAACAGAGAGGGAGAGTACAAGCAGGGAGAGCAGCAGGCAGAGTGGGAGGGAGAAGCAGGCTCTCTGCTGAGTCAGGAGCCAGATGTGGGACTCGATCCCAGGACCCTGGGATCATGACCTGAGCCGAAAGCAGCTGCTTAACAAACTGAGCCATCCAGGAGTCCCTCCTACTAAATTTTAGAAATGCTGTGCTCCCTATTTACTACCTTACAATTTAGAATTATTGGCCTTATGGTTAGCCTTAAAAATTAGAAGGAAAAATAGCAACATGGTAGTAGAACTTGCACTGGAATAGTGGCTTTGAGTGAATTTTTCCTGTTTTCCAAAATTTCAGTTATATGTTAATTACCTTATTATTATTATTTAGAGGGGGAGGGACAGAGGGATAGTGAGAGAGAAAATCTTTTTTTTTTAAAGATGTTGTTTATTTATTTGACACAGAGAGAGACAGAGAGAGAGGGAACACAAGTGAGGGGAGTGGGAGAGGGCATAGCAGGCTTCCCACTGAGCAGGGAGCCCGATGTGGGGCTTGATCCCAGGACCCTGGGATCATGACCTGAGCCGAAGGCAGATGCTAAATGACTGAGCCACTCAGGCACCCCTGAGAGAGAAAATCTTAAGCTGTCTCCACGCCCAGCACAGAGCCTGTCATGGCGCTTGAACTCATGACCCTGAGATCATGAACTTAGCTAAAATCAGGAGTTGGTCACTTAACCTATTGAGCCATCCAGACTCCCCTCCAAGGTATTTCTTTGAGCATCTTAGCCTTTTTAATACCCAGTCCTTTTAAAGGCTAACTTGAGAAGAGTTATAAATTATTTTATAAATAATAAAAGTAATGGGGTGTCTGGGTGGCTTAGTTCGTTAAAGCATCTGACTCTTGATTTTGTCTCAGGTCATGATTTTGGGGTCATGAGATCAAGCCCCACATCAGGTTCCATGCTCAGCACAGAGTCTGTTTGAGACTCTTTCTCCCTCTCCCTCCTTCTTTTATCCTTCCCCTGCTCACACTTTCTCTCTCTAAAATAAATAAATAAAATCTTTAAAAATAAAAATTTCAAAAAAATTACCTTGTATTAGGTAAAATGGAAACTTTATTTGTTTTGAAGTAATGTGCTTAAAAATGATAGGCCAGGGGGGCACCTGGGTGGCTCAGTGGGTTCAAGCCCCTGCCTTCATCTCAGGTCATGATCTCAGGGTCCTGGGATTGAGCTCCACATCAGGCTCTCTGCTTAGTGGGGAGCCCGCTTCCTCCTCTCTCTGCCTGCCTTTCTGCCTACTTGTAATCTCTGTCAAAAAAATAAATAAATAAATAGAATCTTTAAAAAAAATAATAATAATAATAAGCCAGGGGAGCCTGGGTGGCTCAGTGGGTTAAAGCCTCTGCCTTCGGCTCAGGTCATGATCCCAGGGTCCTGGGATCAAGCCTCACGTCGGGCTCTCTGTTCAGCAGGAAGCCTGCTTCCTCCTCTCTCTCTCTCTGCCTGCTTGTGATCTCTGCCTGTCAAATAAATAAATAAAATCTTTTAAAAAAATAATAGGTCAAATCCTTACTTGGAAATGTTCTTTATAATGTAGTTAATAAAAGGAAAAGCAGGAAGAAAAATTATTTAATGTAGTTTTTAAAAATCTGAAAATTACTAGTACAATGATACATAAGAGGAAGGATTTTTTTTTTAAAGTATTATGTTCTGTTTCAGAAATACCATAAAATTTCTCACATTTGCTTCTGGCATTTGCTTCTTCTATCAAGCAATACTTTTAATGAGCCAGGATCTTTACACCTTCTGTTTCCTCTACCTGGAATGTTATTCTTTGCCACTTCCTCCTTCCTCCAACACACTCTTACTTCTTCAGTCTTGGCTTATACGTAATTATTTTGAGAAGCTTGCCATAATCCACCTCCTCTAAATCCCAAAACCCACCTTTCCTGCCTTCCTCCCAACCCAGGTTAAACTCCTATTATTTATTCTCAGGAACATTTTACTTCTTCATAATGTTCACCATCATTGTAAACATCAGTTCAGTGTTTGTTTTTGCCACTATTTCCTTAAGCTTGGTGAGGACAAGTCTCCTGAGTATCTTGTTTAGAGTTGTATTTTCTGTGTCTGGCACAGTGCCTAGTACATAATAGTTAGTAAGTACTGTTTATCGAATGAATACCTTTGATTCCTATTCATTTTATATGCTTTTCCAGACTATAGTTGGTATTGGTTAATAGTGGGGTCTTTCCATTAGAGTAGTTATAACTTTTTTTTTTAAGATTTTATTTATTTATTTGACTGACAAAGATCACAAGTAGGCAGAGAGGCAGGCAGAGAGAGAGGAAGGAAAGCAGGCTCCCTGCTGAGCAGAGAGCCCAATGCGGGGCTCAATCCCAGGACCCCGGGATCATGACCTGAGCCGAAGGCAGAGGCCTTAACCCACTGAACCACTCAGGCGCCCCTAGAGTAGTTTTAACTTTATATCATTAGTTGGTAAATAGCTGAATTAAGCAACTGTAAGCTCCCACTAATTTAGAATATTCTTAGCTTTTTAAGGTTTGGGATGAGTTTCATCCCAATGTCTCAGATGCTTCTTAGTGCATATAGTCACAGTACATTTCTTAAATGATAACTAATAGCTTCAAGTGTTAACTGTTCTGGTTGGCTGTATTACTCTCAGTAGAAGCAGTGCTACCAAAATAGTACAATATGTAAAAGATATCACGATAAGATCACAGCCAGAGTTGGTTTCCTTTTTCTTTTTCTCTTCCTCCTTCTCTTCCTTCTCCTCCTCCTTCTTTAACCTTTTTACTTTTATAGGGTTGAATTTCTGCTTTTTTATTTTATTTTATTTTATTTTAAAGATTTATTTATTTATTTGACAGACAGAGATCACAAGTAGGCAGAGAGGCAGGCAGAGAGAGAGAGGAGGAAGCAGGCTCCCCGCTGATCAGAGAGCCCGATGCAGGGCTTGATCCCAGGATCCTGAGATCTTGACCTGAGCCGAAGGCAGAGGCTTTAACCCACTGAGCCACCCAGGCACCCCGAGTTTCTGCTTTTTTAAATCCTTATTTGTAAAGCCCAAAACAAATAGCTTTTAAGTTAGGATTTACAATATTTAGATGGGTCCAAAAATTTAAATCTACACAAAATATTTTAATTGAGCAGTTAGTCTTTCCAAATTTTCTAATGAAACTAAGTTGTTATTATATACTTGTGATACCCAATTTGGACAGGAGGCGATAAAATTTTTCTTATACATTGAGGTTCTATATATTTGGCAATGACTTTTCTATTCATCAGGTTATATGTTGTATTCTTTACAGTTCAAACGATATGTCAGTAAACTTCGAAGCAAGAGTACAGTTTTCAAAAAGAAGCATCAAATAATAGCTGAATTTAAAGCTGAATTCGGTCTCTTGCAGAGGACAGAAGAACTTCTTAAACAACGTCATGAGAATATTCAACATCAGCTGGTAATACAGTATTATCTTGGGGTGCTAGAAATATAAATGCCAAGGGGTTTATGGGTTACAGGTGTATACTGAGGTCATTGTTTTTACTGAAAATACCATAAAATTATTAATGTTCTCTGATTAATTCCAGAGATATCATATAAGCTTATGTATTTATTTACTTATTTTAAAGATTTTATTTTAGAGAGAGAGAGCGCACATCTGCATGGGCAGGGGTGGGGCAGAGGGAGAGGGCAAGAATCTCAAGCAGACTCTGTACTGAGCGCAGAACCTGATGTGGGGCTTGATCTCATGACCCTGAGATGACCTGAGCCAAAACCAAGAGTCAGATGCTTAACAAAGTGAGCCACACAGCTGCACCCTGATTCGTGTATTTTTTAATGTAGCTGTAAACACTAACTTTTTCATGTGTGCTGACTTTGGGGTAACTGATAGAAGTTGAATTCTAAGTAGATTTTTCTTTGGTTAGCTAAATAATATGAGAAAAAGTATCATACCAAGAGAGTGACTATAAAATATTTTTATCATGGCCTGCTGGGCAGAAATTTCTAAGCAACTACTTCCGTGGAGTTCTGAAAAGAATTATCTAGGAAAGGTACCATATGGAAGATTGACTGCAGGCTTATTCCTTATGTATTTGTGCCTTAGTTGTCAGGAAAGAGTTAAGCCCAGAATAGTCCCTCTGACAGCAAAATCTCATCGTGGACATCATCAGTTCCTTAGAATTTTCTTGAATTGGATTTTTGTTCCTTTCACCCACGGGGAAATTATTTCATCAGGATGCTGGTTTACCAGCTATCATCAGTATGGTGGATATGAATGAAGTTTCAACCAGTTGTGGTTAAGCTGGCATATGAACTTTCTGTCTCATGCTGTTGAATATTGTTTGCTTCTAGGGAACTTAAGATAGAAAATTCACTGTGCATAATGGTACTACTTTCAAAATTGATAGGTTGTAATTGTGTTCTTCTTGGTCACCTCAAAAACATTTTCAGCTTCCACTGCCCTTCAGCCATAGGAAATTAGGGTTTCTTTAAAGCTCCTAAGAAGGTTCTCTGACCTTATCACTTTGCTTTAAATTAATGGTTCATATATTTGAGGCTGTCATTTTATCTCTTCAACTATGCATGGAGCATAGCAATAGCCACCCCAATTCCATTGTCCCTTTAGTTATTATTTCTGCATACTTTCCAAATACCAGCAACTTGTACCAACTAGTGCATCCGTGTGACAGTTCAAGAAACGGACACCAAGATGGGATTAGATGTACCAAAGCTTTGCTGGAAGAAATACTGTGAAAGATAAAAGGAAGGGAACAAGAGGAGGCAGGGAAAACCATTCAGGCCCTACTGCAGGACTGACAACTATGAAGGGAGAGAAAAAGAAGGAGGTTTGTGTAGGAAGAGCCTCAGACTGCAGCACAGTTTTAGGAAAGTTTTGGTGAGGATGAGGGGGAGTTCCTGAGCCAGTCATCCGCTAGAGGAGTCCCCTGTCAGGCAGAAACAGGCCAGCACTAGTACTATTGCCATGCTCAGTCATGCTAGGAGCAACCTGGGGGAAGCGTAGGCTTAGTAGGAACACGACTCTGGATCCAGAGGGGCGGCAGTTACGCCTGTCAGTCAAGTCCATTTCAGTGGGGTCTCCCAAAGGAGATCTGAGCTCCCAAAGGAGTCCATTCTCATGACTGCTACAGTCACCCTCTGCTTATACTCTGCCTCAGTTCACTGCAAGTCTTAGCAATGGCGCTGCTACAACATGCATGGGACTAGCTATATTCACCCCATCACCAGTGATGGGCCCTTCGGTTCCATTCATTCAGTGAGAAATCCCACTCTAGAAGCCCATTTTTATGGTTCGGTCAGGTTCTCTGAAAGCAGAACCTGAAACAAGAATTCTTACTGCTCTCCACATGATTAAGTCAGAGAGTGCTTTTAGGAGAAAGGAAGTGAAGGAATCAGAATGAAGCAGTGAGGAAAAGTGGATTCATCTGGAGTCCAGTTTCAGTCTGATCCCTGAGGAACTCTGGAATGCAAATTGCATCATACAGTTAGTCTCATCTTTAGGCAAGAAAATCACCTTTTTGTACCCCACGGTCAGTCAGTTGTATGCTGTCGACCCTTTCTATCTTTCTATCTTCCAAGAGGTGGTGTGATAGAGTTCCTATTCAGCCAAGAAATTTATTTATCTGATAAATTCATCTGGGTGTCAGTTTCTATTATCCGTCTTTTTTTCTCTTGATTTTCAGACATGTTACTTTGCTTACCTAGTACCTTTTTATTGAATGCCAGGCTCTGAAAACACTTCCTTCCTTAAAAGAACATTTGGCGTTTTTTTTCTCAGAGATCATCTTGATCCAGTTTTGCTAAAGCTGGTATTTTTCTCTTATTCCTAAGATGCAGCCCTCATACCTGGGGCAGAACCTCTACTCCCAGGAAATAGTCCTTACGCCTAGCACCTAGCTCTTACTCTTAGGTTATGATCCTTACTCCTTAGGAGTAGCCTTTCTGGGGTTTCAGCTGGTAGTCTGGAAAAACACAGTTTGACTAGTCTTGAATTCCTACCTCTGTCTCCCTAGTACTATGAGATACTAAAATCTTTGCCTAGTTTTTTAGTCACCCATGTACTGATTTCCACTTGGTTGCTAGGAGTCTTACCCTCTTATGCACAACTTAGAGTTTGGTAATCCTCAAAGAGGAAATTGCATTTAGAATTTTGGGCTAATACTCTATAGTTCCCTCTACTCCTTTCTTAGGAGTCTCAATTTTATTGGCAGCCCCAAATTCCAACTCTTCTTCCATTCTCTCTCTCTTTTTCTTTCTTTCCTTTTGGTTCTTCCATCCTGTTTTGAACCCTGTCCAATCAGGTCGTAGTCTTTTTCCTACTTGGCCTATTGGCAGTGTTTGACATAGTTATCACTCCCTCATCCTTGTTCTTCTCCCTTACTAGCGCTCCTATATTCCTACTCTGGGGCTGATTTCTTCTCATCTAAGATCTAAAAATTGGAGTTCCTGGGCATAGCCGTTAGATCTCTTTTCTTCTTTCACTCCCTTGGTTATCTTATCCTGTCTCATGGATTTAAAGACCTTCTTTATGAAGACCGTTCCCAACTGTGTATCTCTAGCTTAGATTTCTCCTCAAATTCCAGTCTTATATGTATAACATCTTGACCTCTTACTGAGTATCTACTGGACATTTCAAATTTTTTAAATGTCCAAAACTAGATTTCTGATCTTCATTACTCCCTCAAACCTGGCCTTACAGAGTCTTTCTCATTTCAACAAACAGCAGCTCCATCCTCTCCGTTCTATAGGCCAGACACTTTAGTCATCCTTTACCCCTCAGTATTCCTCACACCCTACCTACATCTAATCTGTCTTAATATTTTGTTGGCTCTACCTTAAAACAGACCACTTTTCATTACCTCTACCACCACCATCTGACTCATGCTACCATTATCTGTAAACTGAATTATTTGAGTAGTCTTCTAACTGGCTTCCTTCATCCCTCTATCGTTTGATCTCAGCACAGATGTTAAAGTGGCCATTTAAAAATTCCTTTACTCTGAACCACCCAACAAACCTCCCATCTCATTTAAAATAAGCCTAAGCTCTTTCATTGGCCTAAAAATAAAGTAACCATATAATTTATCATCTAAAGTAGGACACTTTTGAAAATGCAAAGGACAGTAGACATTAACTGAGACTGTTCCAGCAAACCATCTGACTCCTACATGATCCCTACCCCCCCCAACCTCAATCTCACTCCATTTTCAGCTCCCCCAGTCTCTTAGCTATTTCTTGGAAAGGACATGTCTTTTGTACTTGCTGAGCCCCTGGATATCTGTAGGACTTGCTCCCTAACTTCATTCGGGCTTTGCTCAGATGTCATCTCAGAAAGACCTTTCCTGACCACCCTGTTATTTAAGATTTCCAACCCCACTCTCACCTCACACTCTATGTATTCTATTTGTCTACAGATTTCTTGTTTACTCTCACTAGAAGTAAGGTCTGTGAGGGAAGACTTTTTTTTTACCCTGTTTTGTTCACTGCTGTGTATCTGGTGCTTTAAACTATGCTCAGCACACTTAGGTATATAGTAAACATTGGATAGGTGAGTGAATGCAAATATATTGATCACTTGAGAATTCATTCAGTCACCAAATATTTATTGAGTCCTAAAATTAGAAATACTATGCACCCAAGGATACCAAAGTAAAATTTAACGCAAGTTTATAACATATAAAGATATGTAATTATTGTCAATAAAAATTATTATTTATAATTCTAAACTAATTTTACTTATAATTTTATTATTATACATTAAATCTGTACACTTCTTACAGAATTGTCAAGGTTTTGTCACCCATTTTGTGGACCCCATTTTTTACACCTCTTTTTATTCTTTACTTTTAGCAAACTATTGAAGAGAAAAAGGGTATATCTGGGTATAGTTACACCCAGGAAGAGCTAGAACGGGTATCTGCACTGAAGACTGAGGTTGATGAGATGAAAGGCCGAACACTCGACGACATGTCTGAAATGGTGATTACGCTTGATTTTTTTCTTTCTTTTCTTTTCTTTTTTTTTTTTTAAGACTTACTTATTTATCTATTTGCTAGAGAGAGAGAGAGAGAGCGCACAAGCAGGGGGAGCAGCAGGCAGAGCAGGGAGAGGAAGAAGCAGGCTCCCCACCGAGCAAGAAGCCCGACACAGGACATGATCCCAGAACCCTGGGATCATGACCTGAGCCGAAGGCAGATGCTTAACCCACTGAGCCACCCAGGTGCCCTGATTTCACTTTTTTTTTTTTTTATAGTTTTAAAAAATTATATAGCTAGAGGCAGATGTTTTTGTGTTTTGTTTTCAGTGAAACACTCAAATTTTCATTTCTGCACATTGTTTATTTTATATTCTTTCATCTTTCTTTAGCAACACTTCTGAATGTTTCCATTCTAGGAAGTTGCTCAACTTGTCATAATTTATGCATTTTGCAGGGCTTTTTTTCCAAGGAAACATGATGGGTTTTTAAATACCCTATAGAATTATGTATTGAAATGGCTGCCTTATCTTTGCGGTTTTTTTTCCCCCAAAGATTTTATTTATTTATTTGACAGACAGAGATCACAAGCAGGCAGAGAGGCAGGCAGGGAGAGGAAGGGAAGCAGACCCCCAGCTGAGCAGAGAGCCCGATGCAGGGCTCAATCCCAGGACCCTGAGATCATGACCTGAGCCGAAGGCAGAGGCTTTAACCCACTGAGCCACCCAGGTGCCCCGATCTTTGTGGTTTTTTGAAGTGTAAGTTACAGAACGTTAAAGAAATATTTAAGATAAAAAATAAGTTTTCCCAAATAATACTGCCCTAAGTAATAAAATTGCTTCATTTTTGTGTGTGTCCTTAGTATCTTTCCATATTTGGAGCTGCTGTTCAGCCTGAATGCACTGATACAGCTTCATCAGACGTTAAAATGTTGGAATCTTTCCTTCCTGGGACGCCTGGGTGGCTCAGTTGGTTGGACGACTGCCTTCGGCTCAGGTCATGAGCCTGGAGTCCCGGGATCGAGTCCCACATCGGGCTCCCAGCTCCATGGGGAGTCTGCTTCTCCCTCTGACCTTCTCCTTGCTCATGCTCTCTCTCACTCTCTCTCTCTCAAATAAATAAATAAAAATCTTTAAAAAAAAAAAAGAAGAAGAAATCTTTCCTTCCTTATTGATAAATAGCTGCTGCCCCAGCCTCTCAGAGGACCCACTTCCACCTATTTTTTCCACATTGGCCACTTGCCCAGAACCCTCTGGATCTTACTACAACCTGACTCCTAAAAAGCAGAGGACATCAAGACCCCATTAGTCTCTATGGCTGGTGTCCATTTTGATAGGTCATTACTTAAATCCTTTGGGTTATTATGTATTTTTGAATATCACTTCATCATATTACTTATATACTGTATAATCTATATAATTACATATTTTTAATAGTACAACATGATTGTATTATTGTAAGGGCAACTTTCTAATTTTTTTTCATCATTCAATGTTCGATTGCAAATATGGTTTGCCATCTTAATAACTGACCTTTTGAATAGTTAAATGCTATCCCATCTTACTGAAATGACATTTACTAAATCATTTCCCCATTGTTTGGTTTTGAAGTAATTTTCAGTTTTACTCTTTTATGTAACACTTTAATATATTTATGCATGTAGTATTTTTGTTATTTTGAATTCTTTTTTTAGATCATGTATTTTGTTTAAATGACAGGTAAAAAAACTGAATTCACTGGTATCTGAAAAGAAGTCAGCTCTAGCCCCAGTTATAAAAGAACTACGACAGTTGCGTCAGCAATGTCAAGTAAGTGTATTTGATTTGCAATACTGTTACCATCTTGTCTTGTTCAGATGCACTAGTTAGATTTCTGAATATTTTACTTGTGTAATTTATAGAAAGCAAATTATTATTATTATTATTATTATATGATTCCACAAAAAAGAGTAATAATGTAACCTATGAAGTTTTTTGATTAATTTATGCTGTTTGTTTTGTCAAATTATTGGGGAAAAGAGGAGAAGAAGGAGTTTAAGTTGAAATCACAAGTGCAGCTAGATTAGATTTTTGCTTTAATTCTGATATATGTCAGAGCTATAAATATGAAGTCACATTCTTCTGTGGCCAGGTAAAAACTCAGAGTCTGCCAATGAGTGGTGAAAAGTTAACTTTAGATTAATGGACTTGCTTTGCTGGGGAGCAGGGCCAGGGGCAAACTACTAAAGCTTGTGATAAGTGATGAAATACCATTGCTTGGAAGCTGATTCTAACCACCGCTTTGAAGCCAAACTGTTAGTTAGAAGGTAAATGCCCTCCACAAATCCAGATCAGATGGCCTCCGCCATCTAACTGACATTAGCAGTTGTCACTTTATCGCTCTCCATGTAGTAATTTTAGGTTTGAATGTGGGTTGTACTGCATGCGCCTGAGTATGGAACTATAAAATTCTTTACGAATGCCATCCATCAGTCAAGGGACCACAGTGAAAAGCCACATCATTTTCTTTTAATAGAAAATGCCATGGGGTCTGAGACGGGTTTAGTGACTTATCCAAAGAGACAAGTAGGTAGTGAGAGAGAGTTGCCACTTGACTCCAGCATCTGTGTTATCTTATTTCTCATCTCCTGCTCTTTCCATTACACACAACTGTCATCACAAAAGAAATGGAAGAGACAAGTCCCTGTTGTCTGGAGTCCATATACTCACAGGTGAAATGAGTCAAAATTCAAGAAAGACAAAAGATAACCCAACTTAAGAACGATATAGCACCCAGGGGTGCCTGGGTGGCTCGGTGGGTTAAAGTCTCTGCCTTCGGCTCAGGTCATGATCTCAGGTTCTTGGGATCGAGCCCTGCATCGGGCTCTCTGCTCCACAGGGATCCCGCTTCCTTCTCTCTCTCTACCTGCCTCTCTGCCTACTCGTGATCTCTGTCTGTCAAGTAAATAAATAAAATCTTAAAAAAAAAAAAAAGAACGATATAGCAGAGCGCCCAGGTGGCTAGTCAGTTAAGCGTCTACCTTCAGTTCTGCCTTCAGTTTGGGTTGTGATCTGCTCAGTGGGGAGCCTGCTTCTCTCTCTCCCTCTGCCCCTCTCCCCCACCACTTGTGCTCTCTCTCTCAAATAAAAATAAATAACATCTTTAAAAAAAAATTAAAAAACAATATAGAAAAGGGGCACGTGGCTGGCTCACTGTGGAGCATGTGACTCCTGATCTTGGTGTCGTGAGTTTGAGCACCATGTTGGGCATAGAGCTTAATAGGAAAGAAGGAAGGGAGGGAAGGATGGAGGGAGAGAGGGAGGGAAGGAAACAAAAAAAAGATAATCAGGATCGTATACTTAACTGATAAGGAAAGAGGAAGCAAGTGATGTGCTTGTTAGGAAGGAAAAGTTTCAAAAAGGGAATTTTTGAACAAGGCTTTGTGATTAAGGACATCAAGAATTGTTTTCATGGTTACATACTTTTTTTTTTTTTACTTTTTTTTTTTTATAAACATATAATGTATTTTTATCCCCAGGGGTACAGGTCTGTGAATCGCCAGGTTTACACACTTCACAGCACTCACCATAGCACATTCATGGTTACATTCTAATCCATTGATTTACTTAATGCTTTTCTTGAGCAAGCAACTTGGAAACAAAAGGGACTCATTATGTGTCTTTCTAGTGATGATAAAATTTCTTCCTAACAGTAAGCTAAGAAATCTATCTGTAAATATTTCATTTATTAAATTCATTTGTTTTAAATGAGTTTTATTGAAAGGATATTTCAGACAGTAAAGGAAATGTGCTGTCATGGAATTCCAAGGATCAGAACCATAATCAGTCCGGACCAGGCAGTGGTACTGTAGCCATAGAGCATTTTGGGTCAGGGAAGTTTCAGGAATGCTAGCAGTGGGAGCTTGTGGATAAAGATGATAAGTATAACAGTAAGAACATTTGTTAAATGCTTTCTGTGTTCCAAGCATTGTTCATATCGTACCTGTGACCTTTCTCTCTATATATTTTATGTTGAAGTTTTCAAAAACTACTAGCTGCCCTGTTTCTCTGCATTTTCTGATTCAAATTCCTGGTGCAGCTCTTCTGTTTTGGGGTTCGTTTTTCACGCCCAGCTATCTCATAGACAATGGGCTATCCTCAGGTCAGGTCAGGGGTCCATCCTTAGCCTAACTAGCTATGCTGATGGGTAAGGACAGAATAAGAAGAGAGGAGGTTGATATGGTACCAAGTATGGCTGCCTAGAGAATTTTCCCTCTGGAGAGGCTATAGGTATGTCAGGGACTTTAATTGACATCTTGAGTATACCACCCGTTATCCTATTAGTAACAGTGGAACAGTGTTCATCTTTGTATTTTAGCCTTGTCCTCTCATACATACGTTTTTACATGGTTGGAATTTTAGTATATAGTGCTAGTTACTTTAAGGTTCTAGTCAGACAATATAGATAGAATGATTAAGAACATGGCCTGTAGAATCAGGCAGGCCCTAGATAACCATGGGTAAGTGACTTCATCCCTATAAACTTGTTTCCTCTTCTATAAGCTAGTCTCCTTAATGGTGGTTGTAAAGGTTAAATGAAATAACACATACAAGGCACTTTGCAACAATGACTAATACATAAGAACTTTTTAAAAAGTATTTATCATTATAATTATTAAAGATATTTTTAAAAGAAGGGATGTTATTGCTTTTCAACCAAATTGTTTTCTAAGTAAACCGTATACCAATTCTTAAATTCTATAAAGTCATTTATTATAACATAATAATTTAACCAAGCCTGAAGCTCATTTTCATGTGATTTAACCAGATTTCTCTGTATATGAAGCACTGCCTATATCTCTCATCACAAAGAGATATAGCTATCTTACCATGATTCCCAAATAATATAACACTCCAGTTCTTTCCATATCCACTATCATCAAGTCAGAGGAGATACCTGAGCCATGTCAACATTTTCATCTGTGTCTTCTGCCATGTTGAAAATCCACAGTGCTAAGGACAAATACTGTATGATTCCACTTACATAACTGTGACTAAAATAGTCCCATTCACAGACAGAAAATGGAATGGTGGTTGTAGGGGACAGGGGAAATGGGAAGTTAAGTGTTCAGTGGGGCAGAGTTTTGGTTCGGGAAGATAAAAAGAGATCTGAAGATGGACAGATGGTGGGCACAGCTGCAAAACAATGTTAGAGTGCTTAATGCCACTGAACTGGACACTTAAAAAATGGTTTAAGTGGGGACGCCTGGGTGGCTCAGTTGGTTAAGCATCTGCCTTCAGCTCAGGTTATGATCCCAGGGTTCTGGGATCGAGTCCCACATTGGGCTTCTTGCTCAATGGGGTGCCTGCTTCTCTCTCTGCCTGGGCCTGCCACTCTGCCTGCTTGTGTGTTCTCTCTCTCTTTCTCTCTCTCTGACAAATAAATGAATAAAATCTTTTAAAAGATGATTTAAGTGTTAATTTTTATTTTATGTATATTTTACCACAATAAAAAATCTTTTTTGAAGATTATTTATTTATTTAGAGAGAGTGAGTGAGAGCAGGAGTGGGGTGAGGGGCGAAGGGAGAGGAAGAGAGAAAATCTCAGATTCTATGATGAGCACTTAGCCCAATGTGGGGCTCGGTGTGGGGTGCGATCTCATGACCCCAAGATCACAACCTGAGTTGAAACCAAGAGTCGAATGCTCAACCCACTGAGCCACCTGGGCTCTCCTTAAAAAAAATCTTTAAAAAGAATACAGGGGGCAGCACCTAGGTGGCTCTATCAGCTGGGCATCTGCCTTCAGCTCAAGTCATGATCCCAGGGTCCTGAAATTAAGGCCCACATTGGGCTCCCTGCTCAGCGGGGAGCCTGCTTCTCCTGCTGCTGCTCCCCCTGCTCATGCTTCCTCTCGCTCTCTCATATAAATAAATAAAATCTTAAAAAAAAAAATGCAGGACTTATCTATATTTGCATTAACTGTTGGGTTTTTTTTTTTTAATGTTTGAGTTTGGTGTGTTTGGTTTTTGCCTGATGCTCATTTTGCTTATCTCCATATGTCCACCTCCTGCATCCCTGTATTGTTCTACTTTTATCCAGAAACCTTTTGTAATAAAAAGTATATTGAACAACAACAAAAAAAGGCTAGCCATGTCATGAATTATAAACTCTTTGCAAATATTAACTGAAATTCTTAATTGTTCTCTACTTGGAACTTTTTTTTAACCGTTTGAGTGTACTTACCACTCAAAACTACATAGATCTATTGGTAAAGTGCAGGACTACTTAAAAATACATTATATTAAAAAAATATACTTCTTACTTTAATGAGAAACTCAAATATGTAAGAAATTTTATAGTGAAGTGGCTTTTTTGAATAAAGATTTTATTTACTTATTTGACAGAGATCACAAGCAGGCAGAGAGGCAGGCAGAGAGGGGGTGGGGGGAAGCAGGCTCCCTGCTGAGCAGAGAGCCCAATGTGGGGCTCGATCCCAGGACCCTGAGACCATGACCTGAGCCCAAAGGCAGAGGCTTAATCCACTGAGCCACCCAGGCACCCCTATAGTGAAGTGTTAATACATTTTCTTTCTGTTGTACTTGCATGTTCTAAATTTGAATATTAACAACTATTTGATAATTAGAATATTGTTAACTCCAGATGTATAATTTACATTTATCTAAATCTTTTATAGTCACCTAGAAGTAGAATAGGATCTTAAAAAGTTTCATGTTTGTTTTCTTAGGAGTAGTTCCATAAATTATATGTAATTAAGTGCCATAGTACAGATAATTGCAAATATATGGGAAAAGCTAAAATACTGATTTTA